CCAAACCCCCCCACCCTTTTGTTCGCTACTCCTTTTTCTGCTCAGTGATGTCATTACTACAGCACCTAGTTGTATCTTTTGACCAGTTAAATTACCTCAATGAGTTTCATGTGGAGACATAGGAGTGATGATTCCTCCAGGGAATCGGATTCCATTGGCGGCTTAACTTTTTCGGAAGTAGCAGCCTCCCTTGACTTAGTTGACTTTTGTCATAGCACGACTGGTTGAATTCTGATATCACTTCTATTTTGCTTCGCATGAAAATTGCAAGAAGTGAACACGAATTTATCAAGACATGCTAATTTATCTTGTGTAATCATTAGTTGTTTCCATTGGCTCACCTGGGTTAGTAAATTGTGTCATTGAAGTATAGGGCTTGAGCATGCACATTTTAGTCTTTCAAGCTGTCTTGGGCAGTTCAAGGTAATGAACATTGTGTCTTTTAGTATAAGGAATTATGACTCAGGATTTTGCTCATTGGATTCTCTGAATAATTTAAGTATCACGTTAGGGCAAGAAATACATTCCCATAGGACCATACTAAAAGAAATTCTTTTCAAAATACTGGAGATCCTAATGTTTACTGAGCAATGTTTCACTGCTACTGTAGTGAGAAAGACAACTATAATATATTGTCTTTCTATGTCAAAGAGCGATTAAGACTTCCACATTGTTGCGCCAATTTTATTCAAGGCGTTAAGGCGGGTATCTAAAGTATCATCTAAGACAAAATAATTAGAAGAATGAGGTATTTCTCTTTTTTTCTTGGTTAGCTAATTTGCTGCACTACATACAGGGGCGGCTCAACGATCTGGGTGGCCTAAAGCCAAAAATATTAAAAGGCCCTTAAACTTTTTTCATAAAATACGTATATTGGTGAGTTCAATAAGAAATCATATGATTTTGGTCTAGTGGTAAGGGCACGTCACATTATGTGTGGATTAGGCGCTCGTCATGGTTTTAAATATAAACATGATATTTAAGTGAAAAAGGATAGGGAAGTGGGTCCATTATATATCAAGTTTTGAACTTTGCTCCGCCTGCCCTCGAAGATTTCTTTGTTTAAGAATATGAGAGACAAAATAACTTGCTTTGTGATATATGGATCAATTAAATATGACAAAAACAGATAGCTAATTCAGAGAAATTGAGTTGAAGTTGAAAAATAAAATCCTCAGAAGCATATAAAAGAAAAGTGTACATAGAGAAAGAAAAATTAGAATTGATGAAAAGCTAAATACACTAGGAGTATTTAATTTAAAAAGAGAAAATTTATTGCTATTTACTCACTCATTCACCCGTACAATCTCAACCAAATAAAAAAATACTAAAATTTAAAATCTTTATTAACAATAATTACATAAATTATATATATTATAATATTAATACAATACTTATTTTAGGGGCCCTTAATATTTGGGGGCCTAAGGCAATGGCTTTACTTGCCTTACCTTAGAGCCGCCCATGACTACATATAGTGAGTGGTATGGTGTAGATAAGATGAGCTGTCCTTTTGAAATTCATGCATTAAATTATTGTGCAAAATTTCAAACTCTATTTCCAATACACGTGGATTTGCACCTGAGTGTTTTTCTTTTCTTGAGAAGCTGCACACGAGTATTTATTTGATTATACAGAGATCCTTATTAAAAAAAATTGTATATGCAGAGACAATTTCCAAGTTTGGTTCTGGACTATTTCTCCTTGTGCAAGTTGTGCTCTTGTTGGATTTTGTGCATAGTTGGAATGACAAATGGGTTGGATACGATGAGCAATTCTGGTTAGTTGCATCATGTATTGCATATTAATGTTAGCTGTTCTCACCATTCTCTTCATTCTAATCTCTCTTCCTGTTCTTGCTTGGACTCTGTTATTGGTGTGTTTTTCAGGTATGTGGCGTTGCTTGTTGTTTCACTTGTATGTTATGTGGCTACCTTTGCCTTCAATGGACTGCTCTTCCACTTTTTCACTCCATCTGGACATGACTGTGGGCTTAACACTTTCTTTATAGTGATGACCCTTATAGTCATGTTCCTCTTTGCTGTTGTTACACTGCATCCATCGGTAAGTGTTCTATTTTTAATTCCTTTATTGCTGCAGAATACTTCCTTTACTTGTGAACTTCTCCACGAGTTCTAAATTTTGCAGGCTAACAAGATCTTTTATAAATGTTCATCTGCTTTTCTCATCTGATACCACTATTCGTACTGATTTCCATAGTTTAAATGTGGCCTCACTAGAAAAGGCAGATCTCTTTTCGTAGTTGAGTTTACTGCAAATCATGGAAGCTAAAAAGCTTGGGTTTTATGTTAGCATATGCTGCATTATCTCTCTCCATGTTAGCATTTTCTTCGTTCCATAGTTTAAATGTGGCCTCACTAGAAAAGGCAGATCTCTTTTTGTAGTTGAGTTTACTGCAAATCATGGAAGCTAAAAAGCTTGGGTTTTATGTTAGCATATGCTGCATTATCTCTCTCCATGTTAGCATTTTCTTCGTTGCATCTTCAAGGAGTCTTGTCATAAAAGTTTTTATGCTCTCTTTAAATCTTCTGAAAATTTTAATTCTTAGTAGTTTGAAGGAAAATAGTCTGGTTTATTTCTAGTGTCAATGATAAGGAAGACTTTAAATTTCAAATAAGCTGGCATCTCATGTGTTTCTTTCAAGATCTGAGAACTTAAAAGTTATTTGTTGAAATATGTGAAAAGCTGGCATGCCGTGTTTGTTTGTCTGGTTTATTGAGGATATTAATCTTGGTTCTACATCTTTAGAGCAGCTTATTAATCCAAAGCTGCAGAGAATATTTTTTTAAGTATTCATCTTGGCCCTAAATCTTTAGAGCAGTTTATTTAATCCCAAGCTGGAGAAGTATCTTGAACTAGCGAGCCTGTCAGCTTATCGATTTCCTTTTCATGGAAGGCCCCATAATTGTTTTGTAAGATTAGGACAAAAACACTAGGAGCCTGTTTGGAAAGCCACCTTGGAATTGGATTTGGGTGTAATTGGGTGTAATTACACAGTTTGGCATGTTTGTTTGGCCAAGTAATTACTTGGTCAGCATGGAATTGGGGGTAATTGGAGGGGTGTAATTACACTCTCCAATTCTCAAGGGGGAGGTGAGAATTGGTGGTAATTACACTGTGCAATTACAAGGTTGCTTTTTAGTTTCTTTCCTTTTTGTTTTTATTTTAATTTATTTTCTTTATAACTTTTTATTTTTATTATTTTAATTTTTTAATTTTATTTTTACTTTTTAATTTCTTTTGAAATTTTAAAATATATTTTCTTTGTACATTATTTATCTTTTATTTCTCTATCTTTACTTCTTGTGATTCCATGTAATTGCTTATATTCTATTTTTTATTTATTTTATTATTCTATTTTTTGAAACTACACCTCCTAATATTAGAAATAATGAGTCATTAATAAACTTGGCATATAATGATTGATGCAATTAAAGTGGAACTTCGTTGTTAAATGTGGTTATAAACTTATCATGTTTCCTATCTTAAGTTGCAGTGGGACTTACTATTATTATGTTGGAGTTTGACATAAGTTAAATTATTTTATTTTTTAAAATTTTTGAAATTGTGTTATATTCATGGTTCCAATTTACTTGTTTTGTAGTATTGACTCACTTTGCATGTTGTTCATTTTCTAGTTAGAATTGGTAGATTAGTTTTGTCAAACATTTGAATAATGTTATGACACTGTATTTATAAATATTAATTTATTTTATCAAACAGTTGATGCTCTTACAAAACGTATATTTTATTTACTTTTTGTAAGTATCTAAACTAAATATTATTAATTTAATATATATAAATTATTTTAACAATATTAGTTATAAATATATGATTATTAATTAATGTATATTCACGAAAAAATATACATCTTAAATACCAAATATATTATCATTTATACTTATAAAATCTTATAGGTATATATTTATTATATTAATTTTTAGTTTTGATAATTATTTAATTTAAAATTTAATCTAACTGTGTAATTACACTTGTGCAACCAAACAGTAAACTTGTAATTACACTGTAATTACACAATGACAAACAAACAGGCTATCATAATTACACAACTGTGTAATTACTAGGCTGTGTAATTACTACCCTAGTAATTACACCAATTCCAATTACAAGGTGGCTTTCCAAACAGACTCTAGGTGATTTGTTCCCATCTATCTGCCTAAGCATTGGTGGGTAGAGTTACCACCTGGTACAAGTGCTTGTGTAAAGTAGCAGGTACCGGGTGGAATAGTTGAGGTGCATTCATAAAAACATACCAATTGTTTTGTATGAAAACAACTTCATTTTTTTGTGAATTACCAAAATGTATGGTCTGACTGAAGTGTTGCTTAAACCAGGACATTTAGCTGCTAAATAGTGTATTGCTTTCATTCTCAACTTGTCCTCTGTAATCTTTACAACAACTCTTCTATATTGCCAGCTCTAAGAAAAGATCAATAATGAAAATATAACCTATTTCACTAGTCAAGATCTAGGTAACAACAGGAGCAAGTAGAAAGATGAAACACACTCTTTTTGGAGAGTGGGGAGGAAGAGGAGCAGAGTGGAGAGCTAACTCTTGCTAATACGTCTCTCTTGAATGACTCGTAGCTGGGTTATATCCCTATATCGCTCTTGAGATGATGCAACCTTTCTGGGCAGCCCCCTCAAAAATCATCTCTGTCATTAAGTCTTCTTCTTCCCCCCAACTCCCCAACCCCAATTAAGTAAATAAAACCAACCTAAGGTTGTAATAAGCGGATAAGATGTTAAAAGGCTCCTTCATGAGGTGCAACCTTTTGACAATATCTATGCATGGAAAAAATTTAATTGATGTTCGCCTCTTAAATCATCCAAACACACTATGTCAGTGTTTCCACTGAAAAAGAGAGAATAGGTTTTGTTGATCTGTGATCATGATCTGTTTATCTTGAGGTATTTAAGCTTGCTAAAGACGAAATAATTTTTTTCTATTACTGCTGTTATTGTTGTCAGAATATGAGTTCCATCTGTGAAATTTTCTCCTTTTCTCTGAGATCAAATTTTCTAAATGTAGGTAGGAGGAAGCATTTTACCTGCATCAGTTTTATCTTTGTACTGTACATACCTTTGTTACAGTGCACTTGCAAGTGAACCTAGGGATTATGAGTGCAATGGTTTACATAAGCACTCTAAGGCTGTTTCCAGTGGTAGTCTTGCATTAGGGCTGCTAACAACTGTCCTATCTGTCGTTTACTCTGCTGTTCGTGCTGGCTCTTCAACAACTCTGCTTTCTCCTCCAAGCTCACCACGCGCAGGTTAGTTTCCGCCATTTCACTGGGCTATTTCATTAAGATTTTCATTCTCACTGGTTGCACTGTATCAGTTTACTGGACTATAATTTTACCTTTCATTGTTTATTTTGGTTTGCTTATGTTATGTGGTGGCTTATTTTACTTGTTCTAGGCTTGATTGTGTTAGTAAATTTCTTATTATTTTTTGGAAGTTGCTGTGACCTATTCTACTAGTTTAGTAGTTAATTGACCTGATAGATGTAGTTTACATGTGGATTCTCTTTGCAAATCACTTGTAAACTGTACTTGATTTGGCGGAGCAGTTTTATATTCCGACTCAAGTTGCTGGTGTATTTCTATTACTTTTTGCATATTGGCTGCATTCGTATTTCCTGCACTACTAAGTTTAGCTTATAGAAGCAGTTGGTGTCATTTCCATAAATATGGGCGGAGTATGATCTCCTAATATGTGGGATCATTTCCTAAAGAACTAGTTTTTCTGTTGAAGGTGCAGGAAAGCCTTTGCTGCCGTTGGACAAGGTTGATGAGGAGGAAGAAAAGGAGAGAGCCAAGCCAGTCACATACTCCTATTCTTTCTTCCACCTTATCTTTTCTCTTGCTAGTATGTACTCGGCCATGCTTCTTACAGGTTGGTCAACCTCCGTGGGGGAGAGTGGAAAATTGGTGGACGTAGGGTGGCCATCTGTCTGGGTGAGGATTGTGACCGGGTGGGCAACTGCAGCTTTGTTTATCTGGTCTCAAGTTGCTCCAATTCTGTTTCCAGACAGAGAGTTCTGAGCAACCCAAGTAATGATATTACAATTTCTAAAATGTAAGTTTGAACTATGCTTTTGGAGGACCAGCTCCTTTCTGTCGTGTGGACAATGTTTATGATGTCACTGTGTCGATAAATCCTGAGTACCTTTTCATTTTCGAACAACACACTTGGTGCAAGAAGTTGTCTGATTTCATGTAACTGTACAATTCAGACGAAATTGTGTGGATATAAATGTGCTTGCTTTTCTTAAATGGAGTACGTTTCAGATGCTAATATTGTGGGGATTTAACTATAAATTGCACATTTCAGATTTAAAAATCAGTTGCTAATCAGTAGCTGACAATAACATGTATATGTCATGGGCGGCTTTCCAGCCATGCCCCATGACCCCTTGGGCGCGCCCCGTGGCGTCCTAGCGAACCCCCCAATGCCTAGCGCCACGGACGGCCCCGTGGTCTTGGCCGCGCCAAGTGACAAGCGCGCAGGTGCCTCTGTCGCCCCACCGATATCCCTCGCGAGCGCCATGCCGCAGGCAGAAGCCAACAGCGCCGCGCGCGTAGACCGTGATGCCAAAGACACTGCTGCTGACAACGGACCTGCTGCTGCCTTATAGAAAACTAAGTCATTTTCATTGTAAATATAGAGTAGTTTATTTCATGCACTTCCATTATGTTTCTCTAGCTTAATTAGGTCTACTCCTGTAACTTTGGATTATTTTTTTTAAGTACTATTAGGGGGGATCAAGCAATCAAAACTTTCTAGCAAGCAAGCAATTCTCTGTACTGGTGTCTCTCCCCCTCGACACCGCGTTGCTTTTCTGTAATAGCTTTCATTAATGCAATCAAGCTTTCTTTCATTCTGAATTCTCATTTCTATTCTCTCAATTGCTCTTGATATTGGTTTTCCCGTACGGCACTGACAATCTCGTCTAGCGTACGGAGGGGACCTCAGTTGGCGGACAGCAACTACACTAACATCAGTTGCCTAGCCGTACGTCGCCCTTCCAAGGAATCTCAGGAAGGCGCCGCGTATCAGTAAGTTTGTTTTGATGATTGACAAAGGAACACATGCATGAACCAGGTCCATGAACAGTGTTCATAGTAACAAACAAAACCAAGCAAAAGGCTTGCACGTGAAAGAGATAAGTATAAGTGGTTATATATGATATTCCCTGAACGAAAAGGTTGCATATTTGATAAGGAGCAGGACTCCTTGCTTGAAGAGAACTCTATCCAAGATAAGGGAAGAGTTAGAAGTTGAAGTTGACTAGAACTCTTCCACCAAGGAAGAGTAAAGCATTAGAACTCTAGTTAATCTTTATTTACTAACTATATATATATATATATCAGTTGTGTTCTCTTTTACATGTGATGCACACATACTGAAGTTAAGCACGAATTGAGAGCAAAATAACTAGGCATTTTGTGAGCAATTCCTGTGAGATTTAAGGGTGTGATCCTGAAGCTACACGAACCAGATTGAACAACCAGCTCCATAAAGAGTTTTATGTGTCTTTCTTTATTTCTAGTTCAAAGTGTTGTAGGTGTTTTGAGTTGTACCTTTCAGCTTTCTTAGAAGCAAATTGTACTAGGTATCTGAGTTGTATCTTTCAAGTTAGAGTTAACTTGAAGCAGTCGCAACAGCTTGTGGCGTTTTGCTATAAGGATTAGAGTTAATCCTTAGGTTTGCAAGAGGTTGTAAACTTGAGTTGTATTGTTCAGGTTAGAGTTAACTTGAACAGTCGCAAGTGGCTGGTTGCTATAAGGATTAGAGTAAATCCTTAGGTTTGCAAGAGTTTGTACTTGTTGGCTCAGAGTTGTATTGAAGTGTTTGGATAAAATCCTACTGGGTAGTAGGTCGTGGTTTTTTCATTTTTTGAGGCGGGTGTTTTCCACGTAAAAATCTTTGTATTCTTTACTTTCTGCATTTATTACTCCGCAACAGTAGTATAAGGAAAACATAGAAGAACCAGGTCCTTCTATAATTTGTGCACGCGAAAAATTGGACACCAAACCCCCCCCCCCCCCTTGTGTGGTATTGAAGTATAAAACATCAATTGGTATTAGAGCAGGTTATCCTTGAAGAGGCTAACACCTTAGGGAAAGATCATGATGAGTGCACTACTTGAAAACTGTAAAGAGCAATCCACCACTAGGCCACAACTATTCAATGATTGCTACTATTTTTTGTGGAAGGAGAGGAGAAGAGATCACTTGCAAATGACTGATGGATGCTTCAAATGTGGTTAAAAGAACCACATGATCAAGAACTGTCCTATGTGGGAAGTCGAGTGGAAAAAGGAGAAATCTGAAAGAAGGAACAGGTTCATGACAAGAAGAACTGCAAAAGGAGATCATCCAAAGCAATGGTTACTACTTGGAAAGATAGTTCAGATGAGGACACTGATGATAATGTTGAACGAGATCTCATAGCAATTCGAGAATCTGAAGATGAACCTGATGAAGAATCTGAGATAAGTTTTCAGGACCTTAAGGATAAAATTAAACTCCTTTCTAAAGATAGACTATCAGAACTATTATTAGGTTTAATTGATGAATCTAAGAATATAAGTTCTGAAAAAGAACAGTTGTCAAAAGAGTGTAACATTTTAAAAGTAAAGTGCAAAAACCTGGAAATTAGGGCTTGTGAAACTGAAAAAGAAAATATTATTTTAAAGAACCAGGTTCATGCACTTGATACAGCTGTCTTAGAACTTAGATCTGAAAATATAAAGTTAAAGTTAGGGAAAGGATCAGAGATAGCAAGTGATATACAACTCAACCTAGAGGATGACTTAAGGAAGGTTAACGATGAGCTAAACAAAAAGGAAGAAATTGTAAAAGTTTTGAAAGAGGATTTGACAAAGGTTAAACATGAGATTGATAGAACATGTAAATGGAACAGAACCTACAATGCACTTTCATGGCTCCAAGAACACCATAGTAGCAACAAAAAGGGACTTAGCTTTGGGAACTCTGCACCTAAATGGGATCCCAAAAATAAGTACCTAACATTCCCTGAGAATAAGATTTGTACACACTGTGAAAACACTGGTCACTACAAGAGTGATTGCACTACAAAAGAAAAGGCAGATCAAAAGAATACAAATTTTGTTCTAGGGAAAAATAGGCTGCCAAGTTTGGCTAAAAAGAATTTAATTTATCCTTTTGCCTATGGAACTGGTCTATATGGATCTTTGTGGACCAATGAGAACATTGAGCAAAGGTAGTAAGAGATATGTTATGGTGCTTGTTAATGATTACTCTAGGTTTACTTGGACACTGTTTTTAACATCTAGAGATGAAGCATTTGACATGTTCACTTCATTTGTTAGAAATACTCAAAAACAATTAGGTAATCATCTTGCATCAATTAGGTTTGATCATGGTACTGAATTTGAGAATGTTAAATTTGCTGAATTATGTGATGAGCATGGCATAGGTCATAACTTTTCTGCCCCTAGGACTCCACATCAAAATGGTGTAGTTGAAAGAAAGAATAGGTCATTGGAGGAAATGGATAGGACTATGCTACTTGCTAGTAATTTGCCCCACAGCTTCTGGGAAGAAGTTGTGAACACTGCATGCTACGTCATAAATAAGTGCATGACTAGACCTCTTGTTGAGAAGATTCCCTATGAGTCACTTAAAGGGGGAAAGCTAAATATATCCCATCTTAGGGCATTTAGATGCAAGTGATTTGTGCACAATAATGGAAAAACTCCCTAGGTAAGTTTGATCCTAGAAGTGATGAGGGAGTATTATTGGGATATTCTTCACATAGTAAAGCTTATAAGATATACAATAAAAGAACTATGTGTGTAGAAAAAAGTGTATATGTTAAAAAATAACTAACATTCTTTCTGAGAGGCATGAACAAGATAATGAAGAGATTGGGCTGATAAGAAATTCAAATGGTGAAACCACAGTCCATCCTGAAGATGCATCACAAGATTGGACTATTGTCAAGAGGATCTTGAGATACCTAAAAGGCACCACTGACCTTTATCTATGGTATCCAAAAGGCAGTAATTTTAATTTAGTGGGATATGCTGGTGCTGATAATGCAGGTTTTTTTGTGGATAAAAAAAGCACTTCAGGTATGTCACACTTACTTGGTTCGTGTCTCGTGTCTTGGGTCACCAAAAGGTAAAACTCTATGGCCTTCTCTACTGCTGAAGCTGAGTATGTTGTTGCTGTCTAATGTTGTGCTCAATTGTTGTGGATCAAACATCAATTAATGGATGTTGGAATTGATGTAGGTTCTATTCCCATATTTTGTGATAACACCAGTGCAATTAGTATGACAAAGAACTCGGTTCATCACAAAAGATCTAAGCACATAGATGTTGGGAATCGTTTTTTGAGGGATAACTTTGAAAAGGGTTTGATCACTGTGAAATTTTGTGCTACTGATAAGCAAATAGTTGACATCTTCACAAAATCTTTGAGTAAATATCACTTTGAAAGGAACAAGTTAGAATTAGGGATGATTAAGATCACCTTAAAGCAACTCGTTCTAACTCAATGATTGGTTAGATAATTTGTGAATTTTGTAAATAATCAGATTAGATATTGCTCAGTCTCATACTTTCATTAGTATACTCTTGTGTCATATGCTAAAATGTCTCACTGATGTTTAATTATATTATCCTTATTTTCTTGGAAAAAGTCAGTCTTACACAAGAGAACTTTCGGTGAAAAACCTGGTTCATCGAGCTTATAAGTTATGTATTCTACACTCCGCATAATTTGAAATAATTGCATATGGATCATGAACTGAAAAGAGTCCCACTTTATCCCAAACTACTTTTGAACCAATTAGCTACAAATGAACTAGTTTCATCAAGAGTTTCATGTGCCATAATTGCCGAAATATTTGGGGAAGAGTTTGACGCCTATTCAAACTAAAACTCCCAAGATGAAAAGATTTCTAAACTCCAAAAAGATGTTGTTACACACAGCCTTTTCATCTTTAAATTAATCTGACCTTACCCTCTTATCTCAATTTTTTTGAAAGATCAAAATCTCCAAAACCAAACTCTCTCCATTTATCTCAAGTTTCTGAATTGATCAAATGGCAATACCCATGAGAATCCCAAAAAACTCTGAAAACCCTTCCTCACCACCCAAAGAACCTTCACCCACACCTTCAACCACCCAAACCCCCCAAGAAAAGGCATATCAAAATAATTGCATGCAACACAGTGCCCAGTAATGAACAAGCTAAGAAATTGAGTGAGATGCTACAAGCTAGTCAAGCAGAAAAACCCT